AATTGCGTTTAGCACGTGAGAGGCAGAGTCTATAAATTGGAGGGTAGCAAGACGGGAGAACGAATTATGAAGAGTGAAATTTCTGCTGGAAGGAACTGAGGATCACAGAGGGCGGGGGGCACGGAGAAAGAGGAGAAAAACACTTTTTTTGACCAGGGGAAGCTTGATAGAAAGTGTGAATGTACATGCCACTGGGCAAGGTTAGGGTAAACGAAAAGGGAAAAAACCTGTATTGAGCGTGGACATGGACATCAAGGAAAGGAAGAAAAGGAATTAGATTCCATTCAGTTAAACTAATGGAAGGGCAAGATTTTTAAAGAGCTTCAAGAAAAGGTTGGAAGAGACTGGAGTCATGGGGGCCACAGAGCAAAGATGTCATCCACATAGCGGAGCCAGAGTGAAGGTTGCACATCGAGGGTAGGAAAAAAGAACAGTCTCGAAGTATTCCATGTAAAGATTAGCAAGGACGGGAGAGAGAGGAGAGCCCATAGCGACACCGAAGGTTTGAGAAAAATTTTTCCTTGGAAGGAAAAGGAGTTTAGAGTCCACACAGAGGCGGATCAGATCAAGAAAGACATCAGTGGGGATAGGGAGATGAAGAAACCCTTCATGAGCCTTCTCTCTAAGGAAATCAAGGACATCATCAAGAGGGACATTGGTGAAGAGGGACTCAACGTCAAGACTAAGCATCTTACAGGTTGGGAGAGAGCGAACCCGTTCAATGAAGTCTTGAGAGTGACGGAGGTGGGCAGGAGAAAAAGTACCAAGAAAGGGAGTGAGGGTTTTGGCCAGCCAAGAAGAAGAGAATAAGAGACAGAACCTCTAGAGGATATGATAGGACGAAGAGGAATATCAGGTTTATGAGTTTTGGGAAGGCCATAGAAATAGGGAAGAGAGGGACAGATGACACGAAACCGTTGAACAAGGTCAAAGTCAGGAGGACAGAGGTCGGAGAGAGTCCTTAGTTTTTTGTTGAAAGTTCTCTTGATGCGATCAAGAGGGTTGGAAACGAGAGGAGTGTAGGTGCGTGAGTCAGAGAGCAAGACATCAGCTTTACGGAGGTAATCCTCGCGATCAAGGATAACTACCGAATTACCAAAACCAAGAAGTTCAAGCTCATATTGAGAGAGTGAGACAGAAGACAGATTAGTAACATAGTCAGTGAGGGAGAATTTAGACCAAGGGCTAGCTGAGATGAGACGTTGAAGTTGATGCCTTCTTTACTCTCCGTCAACGTCAACGTGCTCTCTTTGCGGCTCTACCACAGGATCTCTGTAACCTTCTCTCTACCATTGCCTTTGACACTGCTCGCTTGAATGCACAAATTCATTTTTCCAAACTACAAAATAAGCATCAACGTCTCATCTCAGCTAGCCCTTGGTCTAAATTCTCCCTCATGACTAGGGTTACTAATCTGTCTTCTGTCTCACTCTCTCAATATGAGCTTGAACTTCTTGGTTTTGGTCTTTCCTTTGCCACTTCGCCTACTCCTCGCGCTGGTATTTCCCGGATTAGCTCTTTTGATTCCTTTCGTCAATCTCGCTTCCGTAATCTTCCTGACTTGTCCACTTTTCGTGGTGCTCTCCTTCCTGCTCTTGTTAGGTCTGTTTTCCAAGAATCACCACCTTCCACGCCGTTACCAACTTGCCCTTTCTTCTCTTAAATCTAACACTAACATTGTCATACTATCTTCTGACAAAGGTAATTCGGTAGTTATCCTTGATCGCGAGGATTACCTCCGTAAAGCTGATGTCTTGCTTTTGATCACGCACCTACACTCCTCTCGTTTCCAACCTCTTGATTTGCATCAGAGAACTTTCAACAAAAAACTAAGGACTCTCTCCCACCTCTGTCCTCCTGACTTTGACCTTGTTCAACGGTTTCGTGTCATCTGTCCCTCTCTTCCCTATTTTTATGGCCTTCCCAAAATCATAAACCTGATATTCCTCTTCGACCTATATATCCTCTAGAGGTTCTGTCTCTTATTCTCTTGCTTCTTGGCTGGCCAAAACCCTCACTCCCTTTCTTGGTACTTTTTCTCCTGCCCCCCTCCGTCACTCTCAAGACTTCAATTGAACGGGTTCGCTCTCTCCCAACCTGTAAGATGCTTAGTCTTGACGTTGAGTCCCTTTTTCACCATGTCCCTCTTGATGATGTCCTTGATTTCCTTAGAGAGAAGGCCCATGAAGGGTTTCTTCATCTCCCTATCCCCACTGATGTCTTTTATGATCTGATCCGCCTCTGTGTGGACTCTAACTCCTTTTCCTTCAAAAGGGAAATATTTTCTCAAACCTTCGGTGTCGCTATGGGCTCTCCTCTCTCTCCTGTCCTTGCTAATCTTTACATGGAAACTTCGAGACTGTTCTTCTTCCTACCCTCGATGTGCAACCTTCACTCTGGCTCCGCTATGTGGATGACATCTTTGCTCTGTGGCCTCATGACTCCAGTCTCTTCCAACCTTTTCTTGAACTTTAACAATCTTGCCCCTTCCATTAAGTTTAAAACTGAATGGGAATCTAATTCCTTACTTCCTTTCCTTGATGTCCATGTCCACCGCTCAGATACAGGTTTTTCCTTTCCGTTTACCGTAAACTATGCACAGTGGCATGTACATTCACTACTTTTCCTATCATGCTTCCCCTGTCAAGAAAAAATGTTTTTTATCTCCCTCTTTCTCCGTTTCCCTCCGCATCTGTGATCCTCAGTTCCTTCCAGCAGAAATTTCCCTCTTCATAATTCGTTCTCCCGTCTTGGCTACCCTTCCCATTTCATAGGGCTCTGCCCTCTCACGTGCTAAACGCAATTTCTTCTCTCCCAAACTCTTACTCATGGGGAACTTTCTATCCTCTGCCTTCCCCACATTTCCGGTCTTTTTTAATCTCAACAATTCTCTCCGTCCCTTAGACATCAAGCTTACCTTCCGCAGACTAACACTCTTCGCACTAATCTCGTTCATACCTCTCCTCCCTCTACAGATGTTCCTGGTGTCTTTCTCTATTTCTTGCTCCTCCTGTCCTCTTCAATACTTCGGAGAAAAATGGTCGATCTCTTTCTGACAGACTTAGGGGGCACAAAATGTGTTAGGCTTGCCGACACTAAACATGCTCTTTTCTGTCACGTCAGAGTCATAGCCATCCTATTGACTGGTCTTCTGCTAAACTGTCTTCCCTACTTCCAAATCGAACAGTCACCGTTTAGTTGAATCCTCTTAATACACAACTTTCCTTGTATGAACCTTAGCCTGGCTTCGTCTCTGTAGATTTCCTTCCCCCTCCCAATACATTGAAAAATTCTCCAAACTTCAGAACACCGTGACTTAACCTGAATCCTCATTTCTTCTTCTTCTTTTTCTTCTTCTTCTTTTCTTCTTCTTCTTCTTCTTCTTCTTCTTCTTCTTCTTTCTTTTTCTTCTTCTTTTTTCTTTCTTTTTCTTCTTCCTCTTCCCCTTTCCTCTCTCCCTTTTTTCCCCTGGGTTGTCTTTCTCTTTCCCGTTTTCGTGTTTCTGTTCCTTCTTCATTTATTTTATTTCACCGCTTCCCCTTTCACGCACCTCGGTGCGCTTGCTCTCCTCTGTGGGTTTCTAGCTCTCTTGCAGTGCTCCCCTTCCTTTGTATTTGACTGGCTCGTCTTCCTTATTTCCACTTCTACCAAATACCACTACTACTACCTCTTCTTCTTCTACTACAACTTCTGATGAAATTAAGACACATGTGCGGCGTCTGGTTGTCTTTGTTGTGGACGTTTCGCCATCCAGTGGCTGGCTGGATGGCGAAACGTCTATGGTGGGGATGCCCGGGTGTTGTGCATGTGTCATTTCATCCTGTCGGTATTATATACAATTCTTGTACTACTACTACTACTACTACTACTACTACCTCCACCTCTTCCTGCCTATATATAGCCGTCCTGCTCCACCTCTGTTAGTGTGACTTTGTCAATGGTCCAAGTCGGACCGAAACGTCGTCGTAAGCTTCTCTCTTTTATGTGCGGGTTATTTGTGTATCGTTCCAGTCACGGTATTGTGCCTTTTTGTTATTTATTCTTTTAGAAGCTTTTGGAGGAGCAGTGTTTTCTGTCTCTTTACATATAATATATGTGCAGAGTAAATATTACACTGGATATTTGACTGTAGGCGTTCTGATGGATTTCCTATGAAAGATTACATGTCCAGATCCTATAATGACTAATTCTTATCCAGAGTTGGCCATAACTAGGGCAAAATCCCAAGGGTTCTCTGATAAGAATGCTAACCTATCCTTGGACAACTCTGATCTTGGAATAGCCAATTCGTTTTACAAGGAAAACTGGCCAAGGCCTCGTAAATTAAGTGAACAGACCCGGATCAAGCCTTCCTATTCCAGGGTTGCAGGATTGCCAGATGTCTCTGTTTCCATGCTCGAGGGACTGTCCTTTCGAGAGGAACAACATAAAGACCCTTCATCGAATTCTGCTTTTCAGGCAGCAATGGGTAAATCCTTCTCAAATCTGATGAACAGTTTTGAAAACCGACAAGTTGAAGAATTGAGACACGTTTCTTCAATATAGATTCCCATATGTTGCATAACTGCCTCAATTCTTCACCTTCTCAGATCACCTAGTCCAATATAAAATTAAAAACGATTTCTTAATCTGCACTGAGACCGGTAAGAAGATGAAGGGAAGGCAAAAGACAGACAGGTTAGTAGTTCCAAAAAAAAGTTTAGACCACATATACTGAATATAGGTCATAACTCTTCATTAGGAGGCCACTGAGGAATTACTAAAACCCTGTATAAAATATTAAAAGATTTCTTTTGGCCAAAGTTAAGGCAGGATGTGAAGAATCATATCAGCTGTTGTAGAGAATATCAGCAAGTAGGGAAACCTGAACACCCCATTAAACCTGCACCTCTCCATCCTATACCTGCCGATGGAGAACCTTTTACAGAGTTAATCATAGACTGTGTAGGTCTACTACTTAAGTCCAAATCTGGGAATCAGTACTTATTTACCATTACTAGATATACAGAAGCAATTTCCATGCGCAGTATCAATACTAAAGCAATTCTTAAAGCTTTAACTAAGTTTATTTCTTGCTTTGGCATTTCTAAATCTATTCAAAGTGATCAAGGTACTAACTTCACTGCCAAAGCATTTAGGGAAGCATTAACTAATTTAGGGATAATCCACAACTTATCCACTGCCTATCATCCTCAGTCCCAAGGCGCCTTGGAAAGCTTCCATCAGACGTTAAAAACCACGATGAGAACTTTTTGTATGCATTTTCCTTCAGACTGGGATGAATCACTACCTTCGTTGCTGTTTTCAATAAGGGAAACTGTGCAAGTGTCAACCGGGTCTAGTCCGTTTGAGCTGATCTTTGGGCACAATGTACGAGGTCCTCTTCGGGTGCTCAAGGAAGGATGGATGGGAGAAGATGCCTGGAGTATACCTGGAGTTTACCTGGAGAGGGTTTCGGGGATCAACGCCTCCCCGGCTCGGTCTGAGACCAGACCTCACTGTGGATCAGGATCTGATCAACCAGGGTGTTACTGCTGGCAGCACGCAAACTGACGTACAAACCACAACCTGGTTGATCAGGTACTGGCTTTATGTGCCTGTCCAGTGCCTTCTTAAAGGCAGCCAGGGGTATATCGGCACTCCCCCTTATTTATGCTGGTAGGCAGTTGAACAGTCTTGGGCCCCGGACACTTACTGTGTAGTCTCTCAGTGTACTCGTGGCGTCCCTGCTTTTGATTGGGGGACTGTTGCATTTCCTGCCGAGTCTTTTGCTTTCATAGGGAGTGATTTTCGTGTGCAGGTTTGGTACCAATCCCTCCAGGACCTTCCAAGTGTATATTATCATGTATCTCTCTCTCGCCTGCATTCCAGGGAATACAGATCAAGGACCTTCAACCGTTCCCAGTAGTTTAGGTGCCTTATCGCACTTATGTGTGCCGTGAAAGTTCTTTGTACACTCTCCAGGTCTGCAATGTTGCCAGCCTTGAAGGGGACCGTTAGTGTACAGCAGTATTCCAGCCTGGAAAGCACAAGCGATTTGAAGAGAATAATCATAGGCTTGGCGTCCCCAGTTTCGAAAGTTCTCATTATCCATCCAATCATTTTCTTAGCAGATGAGGTAGATACATTGTTGTGGTCTTTGAAGGCGAGATCCTCTGACATTATCATTATCACTATGATCATTATCATTATCATTATCACTAAAATCCGTGCCATTAAAAATTATCCAGTACCTCATGATAGGAAGTCCCTCCAACATTTCCTTGTTATGGTAGGATTTTAGAGAAGATTCTGTAAGAACTTTGCAGATATTGTAGCCCCTCCAACTCATTTACGAGTCACAAAGTTCCCTTTTATTGGACCCCAGAATGTCAAAATGCTTTTACGAAAGCAGAAAGAATCCTTTGTACTGCACCCATTCTCCTGTCTCCTGATTTCTCCAAACCTTTCAAGTTACAGATTGATGCTTGTGAGTCTAGGGTGAGGGCAGTACTTCTCCAATCTGGGGACGATGGGTTGCAGCCGGTGGCTTATTTCTCCGCCAAGTATCAGCCACATCAGAGGACCTACTCCACAATTGAAAAAGAAGCCCTCGCTCTGATACTGGCCTTGGAGAATTTTGAAGTATATGTGCGCCAGACCTCTCAGGTGGTCACAGTCTATAGTGACCACAATTCTCGGGTCTACGTTCAATATATGAAGAACCATAACACAAGGCTCATGAGATGGAGTATTCGGCTACAACCTCATAACATAAAATTTGTCACAACACCGGCAAAAAGAAAAAAAAATATACTGATTGATGCGATGTATCGCATCTAATTTCTTAGGTAAGGATGTGTTAGGGACTTTGGGTAAAAAACACTAGTTCTCTTTTTCCCCTTTTGTATATAATAAATATTTAATGATGTGTTTTTTTTTTTTTTTTTTTTTTTTTTTTTTAGTGAGGGGATAGTCTGCTACCGTCCCTACTGTCTGCTGTCTCACTCTAAATTTAGAGATTGGCTTTATGTCGCAATAAAAGATGAGCTCTATATAAGGAGTTGGATGGTTGAGAGGAAAGGCGGTTCCATTATACTGTGCCACTGCGGCACATTTTACCCATTGATGTGGAAAGCTAGTCCTGAGCCGTCTTGGGGTAGGGGTGTTGCATGCAAAGAGTACATCACATTTATTCTGAGCAAGTTAACACACTCATTTAGACTGCATCACCAACCAGCGAACCAGGTTGCTAAGAGTTTGATGGTTCATGGGGCCCCATCGTCAAATAAGCACCTAGATTCAGCCAATCATAATGTGGATCTGGCAATTGTGAAGGTGATGTGGCTACCACTCAAGTTTTCACGCTTGTCATTTTCATTCTGCTGCTGGTTGAAGCACGGTTGTCTATCTTGTCTCTTAGCTGTTGCTCTGCCTTGACTACTGTGGCATGCACTAATACCTATTTGTTGTACATATTGTATATAGTGTACATACTTCTGTTTATACTTGGCGAAGGATAATATAATTCAAAGTTATCTGCTGTGTTTATTTTGCTCCCTTCACACTCAGGATACAGGCCTTGATTACCTGGGTCGTAATACAGGATGACCCGAGAAACGAAGAAACACTCATCATTACTCACTCCATCACTGTCTTGCCAGAGATATTACACAGTGGGAGTGATGGAGGCTCAACCCTGCATATGCTGATAGTGAGATAGATAATACCTATTTGTTAAGTATTCCCGAATGTTTGCTATTAATAAGTTGCTTATTTCTTTTCCTCTCCAACTTTCCGATTTTACTTTGCTCATAACTCGAGAATGCCTTATGCAACCGGCTTCAAATTTTCAACATTTGCGTATGATAATGAGGACCAAATTCTAGGAATAATTGAAGTGTTCACTTTCCCTATAACCAGAGTTATTTAACCCATTCCCAGCATCTTGGAATGGTTGGGATAATTTCTGAAACCTTCAGTGGTGGAGTTTCAGACATTCACAAGTGAGAGGCATTCAGAGGTATCGGAGCAGAACTGACCATTTTAGATGCAACATAGTGTGAAATTTTTATACCTGTTAAATCACGTTAAATAAATTTCAGATCACCTCTTGTGAAGGACATCAATATTTAATGACTGATGCATCTTAGGGTCAGGTTAATATCTATTAATATTAATTATCATAATGAGATGTTCTTTCTTAGAATAATTCAGCCATTTTTCAGCATGTCAGCATCAACAATCACAATATTCACTGGGAAGCTGCCACCATCAAACACAAATCACACTGCAAGTACAAATGCAAAATCATAGAATCTGTCGTCATTGCTACCACTTTCAATTTCATCATCTCACAGAGACAGTAGAAACCAGATGTATGAACTAAAATATCCTTGATTGGTTTACCTGGAGTTTAGATGGGGAGGGTTTCAGGGGTCAACGCCCCCGCAGCTCGGTCTGAGACCAGGTCTCGTGGTGGATCAGGGTGTGATCAACCAGGCTGTTACTGTTGGCCACACGCAAACTGACGTACGAACCACACTCCGGTTGGTTAGGTACTGACTTTAGGTGCCTGTCCAATGCCTTCTTGAAGACAGTCAGGGATCTATTGGTAATCCCCTTTATGTATGCTGGGAGGAAGTTGATCAGTCTTGGGCCCCGGACACTTATTGTGTTGTCTCTGTGTATTCGTGGCGCCCCTGCTTTTCATTGGGGGAATGTTGCATTTCCTGCTGAGTCTTTTGCTTTCATGGGTGTGATTTTCGTGTGCAAGTTTGGTACTAATCCCTCTAGGATTTTCCAAGAGTATATAATCATGTAATTCTCTTGCCTGCATTCCAGGGAATACAGATCAAGGGCCTTCAACCGTTCCCAGTAATTTAGGTGCCTTATCGTACTTATGTGTGCCGTGAAAGTTCTTTGTATACTCTTCAGGTCAGCAATTTCCCCTACCTTGAAGGGGGCAGTTAGTGTACAGCAGTATTCCACCCTAGAGAGAACAAGCGATTTGAAGAGAATCATCATGGGCTCTGGCATCCCTAGTTTTGAAGGTTCTGATTATCCATCCTATCGCGTGCAGCCAGCAGCAACAGCCTGGTTGATCAGGCTCTGATCCACCAGGAGGCCTGGTCACAGACCGGGCCGCGGGGGCGTTGACCCCCGGAACTCTCTCCAGGTAAACTCCAGGTATCATTTTCCTAGCAGATGCAGTAAATTCATTGCTTCGGTCTTTGATGGCTAGATCCTCTGACATTATCACTCCTTCACATTACTTTATCTCTATTGTATAGTTAGAATTTGTCGTATACCCTGATACAGTTTTAATTTCCTCAAGTTTTCCATATGTGAGTAGTTGAAATTTGTGTTCATTGAACTACATATTGCTGTGAGTGGGCCATTTGAAGATTTGATTTATGTCCCCTTACAGTCTTGCGGTGTCTTTGATGGAGGTCACTGTTATGGCAATCCGGGTGTCATCTGCAAAGGAAGATACAGAACTATGGCTTATATATCTAAGTCAGATATGAGGATGAGGAATAGAAGAGGAGCGAGTACTGTGCCTTGTGGAACAGAGCTTTTCACCGTAGCTGCCTCAGACTTTACTCTGTTTATTATTACTCTTTGTGTTCTATTTGTCAGGAGGTTATAGATCCATCTACCATCCACCATCTACCATGGTGGTGTAGAGGTGACGCTCAGCTGTAATGACCCTCATCTAGGCAATAGTCCTCAAAGATAACAACACAATCAGTGACACAACAATGAAAATATAACTAGCAATGCATTCAGGACAATCCAGTGTCTTTGCTGACGTTCGTGATTGTAACTTTGTATTATGAACACGGGTAATAAATGGCCTGTGAGACCTGGTCGTAATGGGAGTTGGAGCAAACACACTCAGCAGTAGAGTATAATGTATATATTGCCTTCACCCACTATGTACAAGTATGTACACTATGTATAATATGCACAGATAGAATAATAAGTGTACACCACGGTTACAGATGGCAAAGCAGAAGCCAGAGAGAGTGCACCATTCTCAACTAGCAGATAGGCAAGTCTGCCAATGCTTACCACAAGTGAACCACTTTGCTTCAGTTTTGGCACTGAATAATAAAGGAACCGCCTTTCCTCTCAACCAACCGACTCATTAGATAGGGCTCAACTTTTCTCGAGACTTAAACTCAAACCCTATCCTAGAGGAACACAGCAGTCAGTAGGGCTAACATGGTTCAAGACACCTGTGGACGGCAGCAGAATCTCCCCTCGTTAAAAAAAAAATAGTTTTTAAACATTAAAAGAAAGAGGAGAAAAAAAAAAGAGCTTGGCTACCCATATGGTCCATAACACATCCTAATCTAAATTAAACGTGGTAAAGAGTACCTGCCAGTACATTTTCCTTGCCAGCAATATGTACGACTCTAATGTTATTGGATTGCAGCCTGAGACTCCATCTCATCAGGCTTGCGTTGTGGTTTTTTCATAGTGTTGAGGAAGATGAGTGGGTTGTGACTGCTGTAGACTATGACGACCTGGGACAACTGCCCCATGTAGACCTCGAAATATTCCAATGCACGTATCAGAGCTAGAGTTCCTCCTCTATGGTGGCGTAAGCAATTTGGTGAGGTTGATACTTGGCAGAGGAGTAAGAGACAAGCTGCAACCACTCTTCCCCAGAGTATTGCCCCTACCCCTGACTCACATGCATCAACCTGTAATACAAGAGGTTATAAAAAATCGGGAGACAGGAGAATGGGTGCACTACAAAGCAGCCATTAGGCTTTGTCAAATGATTCTTGACTCTCTGGGGCCCATTGAAATTTTTGTTTTTGAGTGGTAAGTGAGGTTAGGGAGGATGCAACATCTGCAAAGTTGAAGATTGAGACACTTATGCAGCATATGGGAATCTTTATTCAGGAAACGTTTCACCACACAGTGGCTTCATCAGTCCAATACAAAGAGGAAGGCGTAAGGAGAGGAGGAGAATGAGGTAATCAGTCCCTCAACCTGGAGTCGATGTGTTCAGTCCATCAATCTTGTAGAATGTACAGCATAGGGCCGTAGACGTGGCTTATATACTGTAGTGAGGTGACGTGAAGCAGATGGAGGCGGGGGATAGTGGGACCATCCACT